GAAGTGAGTTCTAAGGAATACAGAGGGGAGCGCGTACTACGTACCTTCGTTGCCGTGAAGTGAGTTGGGCAACGAAGGGGGAGCGGGTCAGGTATATATAATGTGCGGGTGACAGCGGCCCAAACAGGCGTCAACGTTGGACTATCCGAGAAGCGAGCGGGGAGCGGGCGGGAAGCGAGCAGGTAGCGGGCGGGGGACGAGGATGAGGCGAGCGGGGAGCGGGCGGTAAGCGAGCGTGGCGTAGGTTCGTTCGTGTAACCCCAGCGCGGGGTTACACTCCTCCCCGCCCTCTAGAAAGAGAAACACGGGGTGCCACGTAGGTACGCGTTCTGCTTCTCGAGACTGGTGATCCAGACGTCGAGGGGGTCTTCTTCACGATGTTTCGAGGCGAACATGGATGTGACGATGTCGTTTGCCCAGGTCGCAGGAAGCCAGTGTTCGCGCAGCTTGGTCATGAAGTCTGCAAAGGACAGTTCCTCGAGGACGGCGGTGTTGGTGAGCCACCAGTCCATGACCCGAGGGTCCTGGAAACCTCCAGAGGCAAAGCTCACATGGTTAGCCGGTTCGACGGGCTTGTGCCGGAAGTACTGGCGACACCCGGCCTCCCAAGAGAACAGGGCGGCCGGGGTAATCCGACCAGCGGTCAGGAAGGGGACCGTCTTCAGGTTTACATGGACGACTGTCGCGTCGCCGTTCGTGTTGTTCGTAGACATGGCGAGAGGAGGGAGGGCTGCCAGGAAGTCGCCAAGGTCAGAACCAGACGAGTCGGACAAGGACAAGGTGAGCGGCGTGAGTGGGGAGCCGAACTCGGAGAATGTTGGTGACGGTACAGGGGATGGGGGAAGCGGTATGCGTGCGGCTGTATGCGTGCGCGCGTGTAAGCGCGTGTTCGGACGGGGACCAGGAGGGGGGGTGCGATGTCTTCGCTTGCGCCCGACTGGTGTGGTCGGCGCGGGGATACCTGTGCGAGAGGACAGGGCGACGGTCGCGTCCCAGGACGCTAGGACGAGCGGCGGGGTAGCGGAAGAGATGTAGCGGAACGGCGGTGCGGAGCGACGACGAGGACGTTCGGAACGACAATGACGGACGGCAACAGCGGCGGGTAGGCTCGTCGTCGAGGGGGGGAGACAAAAGGCGAAATGGGAAAAGAGGGTGGTTGACTATGAAGTCGAGCGGATCCCCGGCTCGGTGTTTGAGCGGGGGTGAGGCAGGGCAGATGGCAGCGAAGCGGCGAAGTTGATGGAGACGCGCTCCCGGTGGGAAGATCAGTCCGACGTTCAAAAAAAAGTGTAAGCCGGCGTACGGCTTCACTGAATCGGACGTGGAACAGAACGGGAACGAATCTTCGTTGCCGTGAAGTGAGTTCTAAGGAATACAGAGGGGAGCGCGTACTACGTACCTTCGTTGCCGTGAAGTGAGTTGGGCAACGAAGGGGGAGCGGGTCAGGTATATATAATGTGCGGGTGACAGCGGCCCAAACAGGCGTCAACGTTGGACTATCCGAGAAGCGAGCGGGGAGCGGGCGGGAAGCGAGCAGGTAGCGGGCGGGGGACGAGGATGAGGCGAGCGGGGAGCGGGCGGTAAGCGAGCGTGGCGTAGGTTCGTTCGT